ATCGGCGTCGGAGACGCCTCCTACAACTTTCGTAGCGCCCGGCCGTGTCCAGGACAAACACGCAACGACGTGTCAGACGATGTGCGAAGGAAAGCCCGGCGCTAGTTTCGATTCGGCAAGCTGCCCGCTGAGATCGAAGAACTCCATCTTGCCTGTCTTGTCGCACGACCAAACCTCGACCGCGCCCGCGGCGAGGTAGAGGGTCCGCTTCTCGTCCATCTCCGCCCGGGAGTTCCGCGGCGAAAGCACTTCGACACAGATTTCAGGCGCCACGGTCATCGGCGTCGTGTCACCGTGGACGGCGAAGTGTGCATCCGATTGCCAGACGACATCCGGCACCTTGACCCCTTCGGACGTCTGGACCGAGCATTCGACGAACGCCTCGCCTCCGGAGAGTTCTCGTTCTAGCCGTTTAGCCAGGCGGACCTGGATGCGACCATGCCAATTCGAAGCCGGGCTCATAAGAATATTTCCGTAACGGTCCTGCTCAATCTTGAAAGGCAGGTCTTGCAGGTACGGGTTATCGACGATCTCGGACCAGTCCATCGCCTCGGGCTCCGACTCAGGGGGCAGCGGTGACGCTTCATGGTTAGTATATCCTGCAGCGGGAGTGGCCGGAGGGCCTGAGGGCCTGAGCGAAGGATCAAGGAACGCTTGCGCGTCCCCTCAGCCCCTAGCCACTCAGCCCCTAACCCCTTCTCATCAACCCAAGTTGCCCCTTCCGGCGTAGGGCGTCACACTGCTGGCTAGCCGTTTCCCCTTTTCCTCGCCCCGGGCCGCCCGCGGATGAGCCAGCAAAAGCTCCGCTTCTTGCCGACCAAGGCGACCTTCGAGCTCGGCGAGCAGCTCGGCACGGGGACGGTGGGCGTCGTCTACAAGGCCACCAGCCCCGACCTGCCCGAGCCGGTCGCCGTCAAGTTGCTCAACCCGAACGTCTCGGGCGATAAGAACATCGTCGATCGCTTCGAGCGCGAAATCGTCGTGATGGAGCGGCTCAAGCACCCGCACATCGTCCGCAATTATGGCGGCGGCCAGATGGACGGGCAGCTCTTCTATGCGATGCAGCTGCTCGACCGCGGGTCACTCAAGGACCGGCTGCGACGCGGGCCGCTCGCCTGGCCCCAGGTGGCGGCGTACGGCGTGCAGATCGCCTCGGCCCTGCAGCACGCCCACAACCACGGCATCGTCCACCGCGACCTCAAGCCGAGCAACCTGTTCTACGACCGTGAGGGGAACCTCGTGCTCGGCGACTTCGGCATCGCCCGCGACCTGCACGCCCAGGCCGACATCACCGAACACGGCATGACGGTCGGCACGTTCAGCTACATGTCGCCCGAGCAGATCACGGCCGATGCCCGCATCGACGGCAAGGCGGACCTCTACTCGCTGGGGTGCCTGCTGTTCGAGATGCTCACCGCCCGGCCGCCCTACCAGGGGGCGACCTTTGCCCAGGTGTGGGACCAGCACATGCACGCCGAGCCGCCGAGCGTCCGCGCCGCGCAGACCGAGGCGGGCGTCCGCGTCACGTGCCCCGAGTGGCTCGACGAGTTGATCCGTAAGTTGCTGGCGAAGAAGCCGCACGAACGACCGTTCAACGCCCGTGCGGTGGAAGGCGTGCTGCTGCAACACCTGCTCGACGAGTTCGGCGAAGAAGAGGCCAAAAAGCTGACGAAGCTCGACGCCCTGCAATCAGCGACCTTCGACGAGGGCCCCAAGCCGCGGATTTGGGTGGTATGGGCCGCGCTCGCGGCGATGCTGGCGGCGCTGGCTTGGGCGGCGTCGCTGAATGGGTGACCCCTCCTTACGCAGGCACGCCATCATGAACACCGACAACGAGAAGAATCCCAGTTCTCTATGGCTCGAAGAAGTTTCTAGTGTGTGGCGACGGAACAAAGAGTTCGCCGACGAGGCGATTGCCCAGCTTAACGACGAGCAAATTCGCCGATCACTCACTGCTGAGACGAATTCCGTCGCCATCGTCATGAAGCACGTCGCGGGCAACCTACGTTCCCGCTGGGTAGGCTTTCTAACCTCCGACGGCGAGAAGTCCGACCGCAATCGCGACTCGGAGTTCGTCGATGACTACCCGGACCGAGCCTCGATCTTGTCGGATTGGGAAGATGGCTGGCGAATGCTCTTTGAAGAGTTGGCCGCGCTGGCGCCCGAGGACTGCCAACGACTTGTCGAAATCCGCGGCGCTAAGCTGACGGTACCCGAAGCGATCCTGCGGTCGATATGCCATTGCTCGTACCACATCGGGCAGATCGTACAAACGGCGCGGATCGTGGCCGGCGACGACTGGCGGACGCTGACGATCCCTCGGGGCGAGTCCGAAGCTTACAACCGTGAGCGATGGGGGCGAGGTTAGAGTCGGTTGCTTAATCGTCAACCGTGAGCCTGCTAATCCCCCCGGACTTCCGCCGGCGGATCGTCGGGGTAATCAAAGGGCTCTACTTTCAGGCAACCAGCCAACGCCTTGAAGTGCTCCTTCGGCTACCCGTTCTCGTCAAGCTCACGGGCGATAGCGTGCATGCTGGCGTGGGGGGGTGGCAGGGAACGGAAGCAACCAGAGTATACTCTCCCCCCAATTCGCACGCAGCCGCTTCTCCGATCTGTACAACCGTTCTAAAATGCCGGGTCGCCCTCCCCGAATCTACCCCGCCGCGTCGCGGCTCGGAGCCGCCCCGCCCTATGCCCGCTTCCGACATCGTCATCCGCGGCGCCCGTGAGCACAACTTGCGTAGCGTCGATGTGACGCTCCCCCGCAACCAGCTGATCTGCCTGACCGGAGTGTCGGGCAGCGGCAAGAGCTCGCTGGCGTTTGACACGCTCTTCGCCGAAGGCCAGCGCCGCTACGTCGAGAGCCTCTCGACCTTTGCACGGCAGTTTCTTGGGCAGATGCCCAAGCCCGACGTCGATCACATCTCGGGCCTGAGCCCGTCGATCTCGATCGCCCAGAAGCAGTCGGGCAACAACCCGCGCTCGACCGTCGGCACGATCACCGAGATCTACGACTTCCTCCGGGTGCTCTACGCCCGCGTCGGGCAGGGGCACTGCCCGAGCTGTGGCGACCCGATCGCCGCGCAGAGCCGTGAACAGATCCTCGGGCGCATCCTGGCGCTCGAAGCGAAGACGCGCTACATGGTGCTGGCGCCGGTCGTGCGGCAGCAGAAGGGCGAGCACCGCGACCTCTTCGAGGACCTCTTGAAGAAGGGCTTCGTCCGCGTCCGCATCGATGGGCAGGTCTACGACCTAACGGCCGCCCCGCAGCTCGACCGCCAACGCCGGCACGACATCGAGGTCGTCGTCGATCGCCTCGTCGCCGGGCCGACGATCCGCGGCCGCTTGAGCGAAGCGGTAGAAACGGCCCTGCGCGTCGGCGGTGGGACGATCATCGTCGCGATGGACGCCGGCGAGAAAAAGGAAGTCCCCCAGACCGACGAAGCGTCGGAGGAAGGCCCGCGCAGGGGGAAAGCCAAACGCAAGCAAGTCGGCGTTCAGGAGGGCGACATCGTCCTCTCGGCCGACTTCGCCTGTGTGAAGTGCAGCCTGTCGTTCAGCGCGCCGACGCCGCAGCTGTTCAGCTTCAACAGCCCGCAGGGGATGTGCCTCTCGTGCGACGGCATCGGCGAGATGTACTCGTTCGATCCGGCCGCGCTGATCGAAGACGAGACCAAGTCGTTCGCCGGCGGCGCGCTAGCGTTAATCGGTCGCTGGCGAGACTTAGGGCGTTGGAAGCGGCACATTTATCAGGGCGTCGCCGACACGATCGAGCGGAAGCTCCACCTCGAAGAGGGGACGCTCCTCGAAACGCCGTGGAACAAGCTCGCCGAAGAGCACCGCAACGTCTGGCTGTGGGGCGCGGGCGACACGCACATCACCTACACCTGGAAGACAGGCCGCGCCACGCAGAAGTACGGCGGGCAATTCGAGGGCATCATCCCCGAGTTGCTCGAGAAGTACCGCACCTCGCAGAGCCAGATGCAGATCCGGCAGCTCGAGAAGTTCATGCGGGTGATGCACTGCCCCGACTGCGACGGCCGCCGACTCAACCCACAAGCGTCCGCCGTACGGCTGACAACGTCGAGCGAGCGCTTCCCGAACGGCTCGGCCGTCAAGACGCTGCCCGACGTGTGCGGCCTGTCGATTGACGACGCCAGGGAGTTCTTCCAGGGCCTCGTGCTCAGTAACTCGCAGCAGTTCATCGCCACCGAGGCGCTGAAAGAGATCCGCGGCCGGCTTGGCTTCTTGGCGGACGTGGGCCTCGGCTATCTGTCGCTCGACCGTACTGCGCCGACGCTCTCCGGCGGCGAGACGCAGCGTATCCGCCTTGCCGGGCAGGTGGGCTGTGGCCTCGTGGGCGTGACGTATGTGCTCGACGAGCCGTCGATCGGCCTGCACCCCCGCGACAACGTCAAGCTGATCGAGACGCTTGAGCGTCTGCGCGACCTCGGTAACACGGTTGTCGTCGTCGAGCACGACGAAGACACGATGCGCGCCGCCGACCTGCTGATCGACTTCGGCCCCGGCCCGGGCGTGAAGGGGGGCGAGGTCGTCGCCGTCGGCAACGCCAAAGAGGTCTCCAAAGCCGATCGTAGCCAGACCGGCGCGTTCCTCAGTGGGCGGCGGAAGATCGAGGTGCCGAAGCAGAGAAGGATTAAGGCTTCGCTGAATGACGAAGCCCGAATGACGAATGACGAAGAAACGAAGAAATCAGCATCTGATCTTTCTTCGTCATTCGTCATTCGTCATTCGTCATTCG